AACCACAACAATATAAATAAATTTTTTTAGAGACAATCTACTTGTCTGAGGCCAAACATTCACCACTTTTCATTATTCTTACTTTGTTATTCTAACAAAATTTATAGAAGGAGAAATATAAATTTGAAACAACAACAAAATAATATTGTTGACCCTTTTAGAAATTCATTTTTCATTAAACTATTGCTTTGAAGGCTCTTCTAGATGCTTCATCAATGCAACTTTACGACTTTTTCAGAAATATGTATGTATAGTTGTTGCATTATGAAAGTACAAGTAGATCAAAATGTTGGATTCTAGACTCATGTTAAAGAAATATTCTCGAACATTAAAAAAATAAAAAATGAGTCTAACCTTGATAACTCAAATGCTCAGCAATGACTTGGGATATAAAGGACAACAAATCTATGTTAATAGACATATCTTTTGTAGCTTAAGATATTACTTTTATTTAGAGCAGGTTTTGTTTCATATTCTGCAAATTAAGCTTGCTGAAAATAGTCATAACTCACACAAAAAATGTTTAGTAGAGCTGAATGAGAAGGAAAAAAAAAAGAAAAAACATTAAAAGGATGAAAGCTTTGACCAAGTGAGATTATATACATACCAAACGAAAAATATATACAATTTTAAGAAGACAATAAAATAGCGAGAAAAAACACACGTTAAAAGGAGTAAACTATGAGATATCCAATGATGATAACAAATCATTCTTACCAAAATAGTTCTCACGTTTTTAAATAACATACCTCAGAAAATTGACTAACACTTCAATCAACTTTCAATCCTTAAAGTACTCATAATATCCAGTGATAAAATTTAGTAAAAATAGATAACAACAACATAAAACAAAAAATATGGGCATACAAAGTTATTAACTCTCAAAGGATTTTCTAAAGAACACAAAATCTCATCCTTGTATGTGAAGAAATGACGTTATTGATGAACAAATTAAAGATTTGTAAGGATTTTTTTATTGTACCTTCAACAATTCTAGTAGAGAAAACTTGCTTGAATACTCAATTAACGTTTGTTATTTAATAAGTACTAACAAATACTTATAACAATAATATTGCAGAAACATAAACAACAAAATTTAAAGCATGTACTCAAAAATAACAATTAATAATATAAGCATAAATTAATGACTGTAAAAACATGTCAGGATCCGTAACAATTGAATGAAACAGAATATAAAAAATCGACCCACTGAATGCATAGTGTCCCCTTAAGGAAATTATTTCCCCCTATTCCCCGAGATTTAAAGGAATAGATCCTCTCAAGAAAGAATGATTCTATTCACCAGTGTATTGATACAAAAAAATGATGCCAATGAGTCATTCAGCAGGAGAAAAGTATACAAGTATTTAATTGTCCAGAAGAAGAAGAAGTCCAAAATTTTCGTTGTTTTAAAATAAGAGGAAATTCCTCTATTTATAGACAACAAAAGGTAGTGTGAACAAATGTTTATTGTGTCTTATCGGAAAGGTCACAACATCTCATAAAAGTCACATCTCATCATAAAAGTCGCAGCTCTTTATAAAAGTCGCAACTCTTTATAAAAGTCACAATTTTTCATGAAAGGGGAAAACTAGTTTTGGAAACAAAATAAATTAAAAGGGAATCTTGGTTTGTGGTGACGCCACGTAGGCGGGTCTAGATTCTCTTTTATATATATATATATATATATGATTGTTGTATTTCTATTTTTTTTTATTCTTTATATACAAATTTGATCTTATATTGTGTCTATTGCTACTCAATTTGCTCTTGTATTGGTCTATTGTTACTTAATTTGACTTTTCTATATTCCATTCAATTGCTATTTGATGAAATAAATAATTTATGATCTATTTTTATATATATATATATATACTATATAAGAAGAGGGAATAACCAATATATTTATAAAAAGAAATGACATATAAAATGAAATGGAGAGAGTATTAGTTTTTGAAAATGGAAAAGGACAAAACACATATAAAATTAAAAGACATATAAAAAAAGTTGGTTTGACTCTCAAACATAAAACTAACATATGTTATTAAAACTTTAATAAAAGTACTATAATTTACAATAAATAATAACTTAAAATATCTACAAGACAACAAAAAACACTAATTTTTGTATTGCTTGTGTCACATAAATTAGGATTGGGATGATTTAAAATTTTAATTTTGGTTATACATTATAAAATAGCCAAAAAATTGAATGATATAATTTTTTTAAACATAACTGAATGAATCGTCCTATCGATAACCCTAATGTTTCTTCTACTCTGTTTATTTTTACTTAAATTTAGAAAGATATGCTTCATTTCTACCCTCAATCTTATCGCTACATTTATTTGCTATTTAAAATTGAAATTAAAAAGACAAATGACAAATAAGTTTCTATATTAGCTCACTTATGAGCAAAATATATTATAACAATCTTTACTAATTTTATAACAATACATAAACTATACTCCCTCCGTCCCATATTAGATGAGCACTTCCAACTTTACACGGTGATTAAGAAATCATTAATACATTGGAAGACTTCACCATTTTGCCCTTTGTTTATATCAATGCACATTGAAATGAGTTACAAAAAATAACACATACAATATAGGAATGGTCATATTAGTTGTAGGGTAAAATAGGAAAAGAATTAATTAATTCTATCCTAATTTAATAAGTGCTCAAATAATATGTAATTTTTTTTTTAGTTTAAGATTCTCATCTAATATGGGACGGAGAGAGTAACAATATAACTTTATTAATGTTGGACCCGGCCAGCGCCCGGGCTTTCTTTACTAGTATATATATATATCTCATTAGTCATGTATTTCTATTTTAATAGTAATTTATAAGATCACTATTTTTACTATATTATTTCACTTTTTTATTTATTGACTCAGAATAGTGATATTTGTATTTTATATTTTTATAATTAAATTAATCTATACGTATATGTTTTTATAGTACATAATATATGTGTATAATATATAGGTTCACCTTCTCATCTCCCTCTCCGCTGCTCCACCGGCGAGACCCGAGCCGTACTCTTCCCTCCTCTCTCAGCCCCTCCACTGCCCAGAACCGTCTGTAACTGCCACCGCCGCCGTTTGGCTATGGCCGGTGGACCACCGAACAACCAAAATATATCTCTTCTGCCAAACCACTAAAGAGACCACCGCCTTTCTCATCTCTTCCTCCTCTTCTCTCCCTCCGTCCTTTCTCTCTCATATCCATCTCTGAGACAGCGGCTGATCCACCGCCGTCTATGTCGGCGTGACCACCGCTTCTGTTTGATGTCCGCAACGGCGTGAACACCGCCCCACAGTGACAACGACAACCACCGTGGTCAAGTCCAAATCGATCAGGCATTTCCAGGTTGAGATATCATTTCTTTTAAGACGGATCCTTACAGATCCGTCATCTTTCAAATTCTCATTTGCTATGCTTATCACTTCAGTTCTTTTTTTTTTCTTTGAATATATTAGGAGATCTGATTTTGGACTCTTGACTGACAGTTCCTTGTGTAAATTTCTGTGATTTCTATGTGTTTATTCTCTTAGATTATCATATGCGAGCCCCTACAATCTTACATGAACTTCAAAGGACAGGTGCTTAAACTATTTCCGGTTGATACATGATCATGTTTTAGCTGTTAAATCTAGGTTTTGGCATATTAATCAGCTTGTTTGATTTGATATCTATACCAAATGTGATCTTTCTTTGCACAATTTCGTATTTTTTGCATATTCTTCTTTGAGCATCCTCGGTTAAGTTCGAATTAAGACACCCTTACATGTCTAAATATGGCAATGTGAGATCTTTTGACATGCTGATTGATGAATTTTATTTGCTGTTAGGTTGCATTAACTCAATTCTTTCCTGTTTCATTTCCTTTAAATTGATTAGGATAGCTCGAGTGCTCAATTCATTATGGCATAATTTTGGGTTTGCTAATTGAAATGCTTGATTTATGGCAATAATTTAATACAAATTATTACAATCCAGTTAATTGTAATTATTATAATCACTGTTGTAATTGGCAATAATTTCAATCAAATTATTTTAGTTTAAAGTAGTTTGGGGTGATGGTGGTAATAGGACCCCGTGAAGTATATGTATAGTTGGTAATTGGCTGATAGGTTTGTGGGTGGGGAGGAGGCATTTGGCTGTTTTCTCTTAATTTTTCAGTCAATTCCAAACCACAGTTTCTCATAAAAGACGAGGATCATCATTATTAAAGCCTATTAATCTATCATCACTCTAAACAATTTAAGTGCTTCTTCAAAATGATTATTTATCAACCTGTGCAATTGATATATCTGATACCAAATTGCAACAAGGACTAGTCTTTAAAGTAGGCAAAACCTTTCAATAATTTACCGAGAGTGAAGAGTAAAAAAAAACACCTTAAGTATCCCTTTAGGCAATAAAAATCGATAGCTACAGATCGAAAAACAAACAGTTGAAACCAAAATAACTTCTTATGGAGCACCAACAATGATCAGTGAAAAAGCTCATTGCTTGGATTAGAATTGTAGAGTTAAAAGGTAAAATGAAAAATTGAGAAAGATAGTAAACCCTAATTTTGGAAGTACGTGACATTGCACAAAATGTAAAAGAGATAAATACTCTACGTATTAATTGACCTTTGTGTTATTTTGTTAGCAACTTCAGAAGCTCCAATATTTGATTTGCTAGCGAGAGTGATCAATGAGATGTGAGGATCAACAAATCTTCAATTGTGAATGACTGAAAAGATTGGAGAGAGTGAGGAAGGTAGATTCGCTAATTTGAGGGGATCCTTTGTTTGACACTATCATCCATTTTCTTTATGTTCTTTTCCCTTTTTTTGTATGGGTTGTAACAAATTTAAGAAAATAACCTTTCCCCCTAAATTAATACAATATTTGATTTGTAATTTAAAAACCCGCATAACTAATTCAGATTTATGTTGGATAGAAGATGGAATAACGAATACATGAATAATTCAACTCTACATAATTAATTCCTACATAAAATCATACATAGATTCCCTTCTAATCAATCAACCAAATGGCACAACCACAATAGTTGACTTGGCTCCCTATAGCTCTGGTCTACGCTTCATTGTGAGTCGCACCCTCATGTACTACTCCACTATAAACAAACAGAACTACTACAAATAGATTAGAACATCTCTTGTGTCGGACCATTCGGTCGAATGCAACCTCTGATGTCAATGACACGGAAAAGAGATATATACGATGAATGGAAGATATTGCTAGAGTATTTGAAAGCATCTACAAAGCCAACAACGTACACAATAGATTGTAGGGCCCACATGATGCCTTGTACCTTCACCCAACCTTGTCTCTCGCCTATCGACCTGAGTCGAGCTAACTTTCACTCGAGGACTATCAGTGAAAAGTTTTTGGAACGTTAGTTCCTTTCGGTGTACATCTTACCTAAGTTGCTCAGACTCAGGTGTGCATATATGATGCGGGTGCGAATCCAAGGGTTGGATTTGGCAAAACCTAAATTTTAAGATTCGGGGGTACAAAACCAAGTATGGATATGAGTGCTGAGATTTGGCTACTAATTCTGAACTTATAAAATAGAGCTATAAAGATATTTTAAATTTTGAAAGATTTCTAGGTTGTTGTTTCCAAGACCCACAACTACTTCTTTCAAGCTCTCGTGTTCTACCCCTAAAAAAAGGAAGTCATTCAAGGCCTTACACCAACTCTCCTTAGAGACGTTGCTACTGTCTTCTAAAAGAACACAACCTCTTGAATTCTTAGTTTCTCTCTGTTTGGCGTGAAACATGAAGCATCAAATGTTGACAAAAAGGAAAAGCTAAAAAAGAGACAAAAAGGACTATAATATTGAAGATATGCCATTTCTCATGTCTTAAATCTATTTTATCTTTTATCAAAATCTCAATCTTCCCCCAAATTTGTCCATGAACTTTGGTCAAAGTATTTGATGCCGGTTGACTGAATCCCACACTCGCACTCGTCTTGTGTTGACACGGGTGTGGCAACAAAAATGAAGATTCTGTGCAACTTAGCATCTTACCCAAAAATTTACCCAAAAAAAATTACTAATGCTTGCATAATTCTATCAAGCTAGGTTATTTTTTAGCTGGCTACGTAGTATTAGTAATGCAGTGATTACTTATGAGGAAATCCTATGTATTGTATTATGTAGATATTAGTCATGAGGGTTTAATTATTCATGTATTAATTATTCCACCTTCTATCCTACATAAATAAAATATTACATAGATTCCCTTATAACTTATACATGTATTAGTTATATGGGTTTCTAAATTGCAAACCTAGCTCCATATTGATTTTATACATTAATAACTTGCCTCCTTATCAACCACCAAATGTGATATTATTTATGCAAAATTTAATACTTGCATAACCCAATTGTCAAATCAGCTACCAAACAACCCCAAGTGTTTAAATTTTGAAGAAAACGTAGTTCATAAATTATCTTTTTCTTTATTTATCAATCCAGTCCATTATAACGTAGTTTATAAATGAATTGTCTACAAAGAGGAAATGGAAATTATGGCATCCATAAATCTAAAATAAAATTTCATTACACTATTGATTGTGTGGCTCTTTTTTACAAATAATAAATTGAGGGATTTTAAGTAGAGGAAGTTTCAGAAATGACTACTGTTTGAGCCTTTTTAATAATCTATAGCTATAATTTAGATATTTACCATTTATAACAATTATGTGAGGTGTCAAGTAAAAAAAAAAAGGTATCATGTGATTGTATTCGTTGTATCGTATGATAGTTTAGGTTGTATCGACAAATATAGTCTGGGAATATACAAAGATACAAATAATAAAAAATACAGGGGACTGTATTCATTCGGCCCTATTGTATCAATGTTGTCACCAATTTGTATTACTTGTATTCATTCACATTATGTTTGTATAAACGCATGCAATCTTGATGGATACAATCATGATAGTTATATGGGTTCACTTAAATTCACTTGGTACACTTAAGACACTGCTGTACCCCCTTTTTTCCTCGCGAAAAGAAAAAAAATGGGTTTCAACGATGTGACAACTCTTTTTGGATAAATGAGAAGATAAAGAGTCGCCACCTAACGAATTAAAGACGTGCAAATTACAAGTACATCTAATTAACTAGTCTACAAAACCATAGATCAGGCAAGAGTTCAAGTTACCTCAAAAGAAAGGTGTTAAACACCTTTTGAGGTCCACAAATGTGAGTCCCAGTCGAATCTCATAAATTATGTGGGGGATTGCATGACAAACAAAGCTCATTAATTAATAGGCTAAAATGACTGTGATAAGGGACTCAAAACTATATTTAAGATAAGTGAACAAAATAGACGAGGTTGATTATTAATTACTTAAAACAAGATTTAAGTAACGAGATAATTAAAACAACATTTGTCACTTAGGCAAAGAAACTCTAAAAATTTGTAGACTAATTATGACATAGTTAGACATACAATGAAAGAGGAGCAAGGAGAAAGAGTTGACATCAAGAGGTATGAACATCTGTAAAGAATGCATGAAAACTAAACTACCCCAAATAAACATTTAAATAATAGATATAAAGAAAAAAAAGGGAAAAGATTGTATCCTAAGAAGTAATTGCTCAACCACGTGAAAGTTTTTAAAAGATTTTTTAGCCAAAATGCAATGGCTATCATGCCGATCACTCATGGCTATAAGTGTACCATGCAGATCACTACACACATATACTTTACGGGGTCCTATTACCCCTATCCCCCAAACGAATTTAAAATGGAATTATCACTTTCCTAGAAGTCATAACCAATTCTATGCTAAAGCTATGCAAAACACGCATAAACGACTGCATGTTCATTTTCTATTTTTTTTGTTCTTTTCCTTTTTTACTTATTCTTTCTTTTTCTCTTTGTTTTTTTCCTCGTTGCTCGGAGCCACCATTGATGTAGAGTATATTCATTGTTTTTTCTTTCTTCTTCATTTGATCTCTTGAAATTCATGAAGTAACGCTAGGTACTCTTTATCACACAACAATGGCATAAAATGGCAAAAAGTTACATCTTGCAGTATTTCCATGGCTGGATTTTGACCATATTTTCTTTTTTTTTTAATGACAAGGGAAGCCTACAACCGCTACCCTTTGGGTGCGCATAGGGTAAAATTTCCGCTCTTAATGCAATAGCTTGTAAACCACATAGGAGAGGTAACCCGCACTAGGCAAGTCCGATGCGATGAGCTCAACCCAGAAGGCAAACCCCCTGCTCTCACTAGCTTTTGACCATATGATTCCATATTTGGATCTCTGAAATCCCATAGCACTAATGGATCACACTGATCCTTTTATTTCTACTTCTAGAAACATTGATTGTGCCCAAAACTTCCCCCAAGTCTTGCCCCCTTTTTAAATTTCGTCAAACTTCCTATTTCCAACATCGAAAAGCTAATAAAAAATGCCGAAGCCACCATTGATGTACCTTATGAGCAAGCCAAGTACCTCAAAATTGCTCAAGATGGACTCAATGTTATCAAAAGCGAAAAGCTCTAAGGCTCGTTGGGGCTTTAAGCGCGAAGTGCAAATAAAGCGTGGGTTTTATTGAGTAAAGGCGCAAATGGAGAAAACATACAGATTTATATATGTTTAAGTCTTAGACTAATAATTATAAGCATGAATAACAAATATATGGACAAAGAAATTGATTGTTTTTACGATAAAATGAAATATCAATGGTTTAGCATTGCCTCTTCAGGAAATGCTCAATCACGCGGAGAAGTATATCTTAGAGCCTTGATGATGACACTGAAGTGCTCATTAAGTGAGACAAAGCGCTCAATGCGTTTCGAGCCTCGCTTCAGGGCTTAAGCCTTTGATAACATTGGATGGACTTGAATCCATGGCTAAGTTTCTCGAAGATTGAGATCTTGATTTTATATTCTTCGATTTTGCTTCTTACTGGGTTCCTTCAATTGCTTAAAAATTCAACATTCCGTCGGGCTATTTCAACATATTTATCGTTGCGTTTCTAAGTTTCATCAGACTTATGCCGGGTTTGAACAATGATTGCAAAACTCAGAGAACCACCATTGAAGGACTTTGAGAAAAACTTGAAATGGTTATGATGTTTTTGTGATATCAAAAAAGGGAAAAGAATAATTAAAATGTATAATCTCCAATTAGAAACTGAAACATGAACTATTTGTTTCAGTTTTAGCCATTTTAGGACTTCTGGTTTAATCCTTGTGCGCCTACTAGAGGTGTATTCACCTTCTTGGGCAGGTCAATGTTTAAGGGTTACCAAATTCTGAAAATAAAAGGTTCAAGTGGGTAATTGGACTCCTTTGAAGTATTAAGAGTGTCGTTGGGAAGTGGGTAATAGGTTGGGGGACATTTGGCTATTTTCTCAAAAATTATGGTGTGAACCCTGTAGTGTATGTCCATAATGTAGTTAACTCAATACACTGAGTGGCTTTAGTTTAGTCTGCGAAGGAAAAAGTTATTTAACAATGCCCGTTTTTGTCTGAGACATGATTTAGGCAAAGCAACTCTTAGAGAAAGACCAAACGGTCTCAGAAAGGGATCATCTAACTGGTGGTAGTGTTTGCAAAGTCATGCTCTTTGAGAGGGGCAGGTTTCCTAAACCTTCCTGTCAGCTTTTATCTGATTACTGATAACTGAATGCCAGACATAATGCTGATGCATGCAAAAAATGATTTGGTAAATATTCTTAAAATTACTGACAAAAAAATAGCTAAGAAGAACGTGTGGGAAGGTCTCAAGTCTTATATTATCTTTTCCATGTGGGTCAAACTGTTTTGAAGTTGGAATTTATCAGAAAAATGTTCTGTTTGAAAGTTTGCTTCAATTAATAAGCATTTCCTATTTCAATATAATTGATATTATTGCGTGTTGCCCTCTAAAACATAAATGTTTTTGGTAGATCTACAGAGGTTCTTCTGTTATATTGACAAAGAAATGAACTTTCTACAACAAATTTTGTTGTTGACGGTGAAAAGTCAAGCAGATACTCATGGTAGTTAAGTCTGTTTTGGGTGCTCTACTATTGTTCACACACACACCTGAGGATTAAGTATTACTAGCATATTACATTTGTTCCTTACTGTCTTTAAGGTATACACTAATTGCTTTAAATTAGTCTGGCGTCTTAATACTGTGTTTCAAATTTGATGTTGTAGATTTCCATAGCTTCTGTTTGCATTTGGTTATGACTACTCTATCATCGCCCAATAGTTCAACTGTTTCACCTTCTCGAGGGACAATTTCTCCAGCAGCCTTTGGGACATATGAATCTCCCATGCCTGGGGACTCTCATTCTGGCCATTCTGAACTGGCGATCAGTGATAATGATGAAACAGAGCTACACTTTGTATCATGGAATCAGGATTACAGTTGCTTTGCTGCTGGCACAAGTCGTGGCTTTCGTGTGTATAACTGTGATCCTTTCAAAGAGACTTTCAGACGCGATCTGAAAAGTGGTGGATTTGGAATAGTGGAGATGCTGTTCCGATGCAATATTTTAGCACTTGTGGGTGCCAAGGCCAACACTCAATACCCACCTAATAAAGTTATTATATGGGATGATCATCAAAGCCGGTGCATAGGTGAATTTTCATTTAGGTCTGAGGTTCGTGCAGTGAAACTAAGACGGGATTGTATTGTTGTAGTTCTTGAGCACAAGATATATGTCTACAACTTTATGGATCTGAAGCTTCTTCATCAGATAGAGACTGTGGCCAATCCTAGGGGACTTTGCTGCCTCTCGCACCAGTTAAATACATCTGTATTGGCTTTCCCAGGCCTTCGAAGAGGACAGATCCGGGTTGAACATTTTGGCCTGAATATGACAAAGTTAATCAAGGCACATGATTCTCAGATAGCATGCCTAACCTTGACAATTGATGGGCTGCTTCTTGCAACAGCAAGCACTCGGGGAACTTTGATAAGACTCTTCAACACCATTGATGGGACTCAGTTGCAAGAGGTACTTTCTTCTCTCATAACTTGTTTTTGGCGAAGAACTAGACATTCAAATGGTGATTGGAAGGGATGAGCACAAAGCTAGCTCATTGCCTCATTCATTTGCAGCTTTCTTAGTGCAGAGCCCCATAAAAATCGGACATTGTCATCAACTATTCCTTTCCACTTTTATCCTGAATTAGTTTGCTGGGCGTAGCGATTATGCTAGACATGGTGAAATACATACTTGGAAAAAAGTGTTTTAATGTCAATAGATATCATATTAAGGTCAAAGTATTCAGAATATAATTGTATAACTGCCTCCTAGTAAAAGAAGTCGATCTTGTGGGTTGCACCATATGGGAAGTATTTCTAGCTGGTAAGGAGTGGTAAGATACTTATTGTCATCTGAACTTGACTTGGAGGCCATTTCATCTCCGATTCTAGCACAAGAAGGAACATATTAATAGAAAGGGTATGTAATTGCAAAATGTGAAATAATTTAATATTAACAAATATTCGCAAGTGTTAGAGGTATGTAAGTGCAATTAAAAGTTTCCTTTCTGTAGTAGCAACAACTCACATTATTATATATGCTATTAGAGTTGTGGTTTGGTTCTTACCATCACCTATCCTTGAGAAAATCTCCATGTGTTTGGCCAACAAAATGATTCTGGCCACACGTAATGAGGTGTGTTAGGTATAGAGTTAATTTAAAAGCTTAAAATTTTAAATTGAGTCTAAGCATTCATATATTTTGATAACAAACCTGTCTGTAGTTATAACAAAATTAAACCAAGATGAGAATTTTAAATAACATTAATCAATGTCTATAAACCACAAGGGGAGAGAGGGGAATTTTGCCCATGGGTCTCAAAACTAGGAGTCTTTAGCAAGACAATGACAACAGTATTAGGTAGATTCCTAGCTGGAATAGTCGCTTGTACAGCATGACTTTTCACATGAAGAAAGAATTTGACAATTGTTTCTATAGCATTTAGGTCAACTACTAGGGAATGTTGTACAAAGGTCGAGAAGGGGACTAAGCACAATATGGGATGGAACTGAAGAGTCAGGAGCAAGAATGAGAAATAAGCAAAAGCTTGGGAGGAGAAAGGAGAAAGGGCAGGTAAGAAGAATATGGATTGAGAATTTTTTCAGATCTGTTGTTTGAGGGGTTTGAGACTTTGAGGAGATAGTAATAGAATTGTTATCTGACAAATAATAATGACGGGGGCAAACAAGTAACGACCTGTGTCAATAGGTATGGTGATGGAACAATAAGAGTTGGAGAGTTAAACAAACTTTGAATGCTCTGTTAGTAATGGTCCACATGGGTGATGTGGGATGACATAAGAGGGGTTTGGGTGGGTGGTTGGGGATTAGTGTATTGCATGTGGAGAGAAATAGTATCATGAGGGTTGAGAGATGAATGATCCGTGTAAAAAATCCTTCATCAAGACGTGTCCGGTGGAGTGGAGTGCAATTTTTCTGTGTTTGCAAGAATCAAAATTTAAGAAATATCAGAGTCAATTGGTATTTTGGGATGTGAGGAAGGAGAGTCATTCCATTGTGTTATTGTTTGTAAAAAAAGCGGGAACTGTTATTTAGTGGGACTATGTGGGAGTCTATGGGCCATAGGTGAGGTGTCAAAAATGGAGTTTTGGTAGGAAGTTCAGGGGTGGATGTGGGGGTAAAAGATCCCAGGGTATTTGGTGGGGATTTTCGCGTAATTAGTTATCGGAAAAAAGTTGGTATATGAGGCATTCTCTAGAGCAATAGATGATTATGGGTCAATCTTATATGGTGGTGAATGTTAGACCGCTAAAGTGCAACATATCCACAAGATGAGTGTGGAGATGGATGCTAACCTGAATGTCCGGTCATACAAGATTAAACAAGATAAAAAAACCATAATTGCTAGATGGTGCAAGTAAGCATATTGGGGATAAAATGAGAGAAGATTGCTTGAGATGGTTTGGCCAGGTCCTACATCGGCCTCCTGATGCACCTGTAGGTAGGTGAAACCATGGTCAGTGAGGTGCTAAAAGGGGATTAGGTAGCTAAAATCACATGAAAGAAAGTTATCTTGAAAAAACCTACAATTTCTTGGAGACTTAGTTAAAGATAGGACAATGAAATAAAAAAAACTACATAGGTGATATCAGCTAGTTGAGAATATGTTCTAGTCATGTTATACATCTATTTAGGTCCGATGCTTTTCTAGGAGTATTATGGTCTTATCATAGATTTATATACCACTAAAAACAATAATAGAAGTATGATTATGACATGAGATGAATTTTAATGGAGAAGCATGTTCAGTGAGGAATCATATAATCGACCTCAGTTTGTTTGGGAGACGTTGTATAAACTGTCACCAGTTTATCAATTTTTACTGGCATGTTCAAGATATACTTGGTCAAGTGATGAGAACTCTACAAACTTCTTATCTTCACAGTGTGAGAGGAGAAATTCCCAGTTGCTATCTAAATTCCTTTTCACAACTTCAAAAAATTCTAATTTTTTTCCTTCTAAATCTGTTTCACATGTAAAAGTACTCTTTAAATGTTGTGTAAAAATTGAACTATGTCAAATTGGATTGGAGAAAGGAGTAAAATTTGAAGTTCTGTTTTCTGTATGTGTGCGGTTTTACTATGAAATGTACAGTATCTATTCACTAGGGGAGGTAATATTTCTCGAGTATACTTCTGTCTGATTTCTGACTATTGAAAATGGAATTACACAATGAACAAGACATCACGAGTCATCTTAGCTTTAAGAATTAGTTGTTATCTCCAGTTAGTTGGGTCTGCTTTTAGCTCTTTACTCTGCTGCTAGTTTGCTGACAATCTCTCCCTTAAGAATTTTTCAGGTCCTGTGATACTCTTGTGAGACAATCAACAAACAATTTTGACTTCTAATCGTCTACAAAATATAAAATGGCATTAATGCCCCCACTTCTTTGGATACTGATTTTGAGATGTTTTCGTCTAGTTCCTCTTTGATTTAAAGCATGCTTTATATGCGATTCCTTTTCTATACTCACTGTCCTTTCAGCCAATGGTGACTCTAACTGTGAATTTTGATATGTTCTCTTTAGCATAGTGCTTATTCCTTACCTATGCTTTATCTTAGGTGCGTAGAGGGGTTGACAGAGCGGATATCTGTAGTATTGCTCTATCACCAAATGTTCAGTGGTTGGTCGTCTCAAGCGACAAAGGTACTATCCATGTATACAGCCTTAGAGTACGTATTGTTGGGGAGGATGCTTCAGCTGATGCAGCTGTTAGAACTCCAACGTTGTTGTGTCAGAATTCATCAGCTTCTCTTGATGCACTTATTTCTCCAAGTACTGGAGCCAACCCTGGTTCATCACTGTCTTTCATGAAAGGTGAGTGTATTACGAAATTAGGCGTGCAATGCCAATTGGCTGTATATTGTGGCCTGATAACCAATCTTTAGGGTCTCCAGACAGGTTTTACCTGACAACAATAATGACACTAATAGGATTAACCACAGTGTTTTTAACTGATTTTGTAATGATTATGCTGTATTGTTCTAACTGCCAACTTTGATAAAGATTTATTTATTTTCTAAACTGATTTGATATTCTCACAATACCTTACCTGTTGTCTATGGTGGTGAGGTGACTGTCAAAATTTCTGCTGGAACAGTTCTAATTTGATTCCTTTTTTTAATACAATTTTTCAGGAGTTTTGCCAAAATACTTTAGCTCTGAATGGTCATTTGCTCAATTTCACTTGCCAGAATGTACCCAGTACATTGCTGCGTTTGGTTCTCAGAACACCATTATAACTGCTGGCACTGATGGAAGGTACTGAACACTCATCTTTCTGGCTCAATATGTTACTCTATTGCAACGTCAGTTAGCAAATTCAGTTTAACCTTTTAGCATTAGTGTAAGGTATTTTGGCATTAGAACTAAAAAGTTTACACCACTTCAGCTAGCCGGTTCTCCTTTATCTCACCTGTTGTTGGACTTCTGTCAGTTTCTATAGGTGCAGCTTCGATCCTGTGAATGGAGGAGAGATGGTACAGCAGGAATATGTCCGCTTTCTGAAAACAGAAAGTAGGCCGAGATAGTTCTGTTCCAAAAGAAGTACTTTCCTTGTAAATAAATCTGATGTTTTATCTATTGTGAAAAGAAGGGAAACAAACACCAGTTGATAAGCTGTGTTTGCTGACTAATGTGTATATAATGGCTCTCTATAAAGTGTTCAGATTATCCCGTATTTTTTATACTAATGTACTTAGATTATCCCGTGTTTTTTATACTAATGTACTTTATTCTGTACTAATACTTGGAATGATGCGTCATCATCACTGTATATTAATAATTGCTTCACTGGATTTCTCTACAAGGCGGTGTTCTGTTCACAAATACGCAGTGTTTTAGTACTTTGTGCAGTTGATTGTGCTTTTTGTGGCACCTAAGATGCTATTGTATTCCCTGCAGTTCAATAGGTTACACATCTTTGCACCAAGCTTGGTACTGATGTTTATGACCTTGTACAAGTTTTACCAACTCCCATTTTCTAATGGAAGCGACGGTTGATGCAATATGAGCGCTTGACAGGCAGTGGTTTAGTCTCACTAATCGGTTCAAGAGCCAGTTGATTACTTTTAGCTAAGTGTTCTGTTCTGAAAATGCATCGGACGATTAACATCTTGATCGTCGATTGTGTAAAAGAGTGAAATAGTTTCACTTGTATCTCACAATGGACATATGGCGCACAGCTCTAACGCTGAAAATATGCCTCAACTTACTTTCGGACCTTGAATATTTTTTTAATAAAAAAGTCTATTGGCCTATGTGAACCGTTGGCGCTCGTTGGCTTAGACCAACACATACATTTTCCATTTTACCTTTATATTTGAGGAGTCGATCATGAAAAATAATAATATTGCGTATGCTAAAACAAACAGCCAAGAAGCAAACCCACAAATTGGATACGGTGATACACTGGCTCAACACATACTTCATTTTTATTAGCAGCTGTGGACTACACGGAATATACTAGGGTATTAATTTCTGTCGAATTGAAATGTTAATGTGGATCAGTACAGGCCTGAAAGGAAGCAATTTTAAACATTGTGGTTAAATTCTGTGAATTACATTAACTTTACATGGACGTTTTTTCCCTATATAAAAAAAAAATGAAGCACAATATGTACTTATATTGTACCAACTCCTCTCATCCCACTAAATCCTCAAAGAAGCTCCTTTTTACACATCTTCATGGCAGGCAACCTTAACAGGGCAACCCACAGAATCAGGTGAGGTTATAACTCGGTAACTGACCAAGTTGAGGAGAAATGCTACTAGTAGAGGAAGACATTCGCTTGTTGTAACATGGACATTTCTTTCTTTCAAAATGGTAACAGAGGTGTAACGTCAATATTAGAATAACTGGAATAAAAGGCTAGTTGATCCATCTCCAAAAGATCTTAGATCAGCAGGTCTGACCAAGGCTCTACACAAAGGACAAGTTCTCTCTCTTTCAAACCTGAAACTTGGTAATTAGAGAACACTAACTGTTAGCACAAGTATAGACAATATGGCATTTTAGCATTCAGTAATAGAAGCAGATGATTAAAAGGCTCATATTTCTTTCTCAAAAGAAAGTGGGAACAAAATAGACATTAAACAGTTTGTACTACATAAATAACCTGTGCGAACACAGGTGTTCTCTCCTTTTCCTCTCTGGTTTTTCTTGAGCTCAAGTGTTTGCTAAGTTGGACTAGATTTGCCAATGGCAATATGAATGGACCAAAAACAAAATCACGGCAAAGTTGATAGATCATTTTAGTAGGAAACACAACAATGAGAAGACATATTTTCTAAGTTTTTTCTTTCACCACTATATTCTTAAAACTGATCATGGAACAAAAGGAACACTTTACTGACGAAAAACTAATCACACTGGCAGAGGAAACACAACAAAAAGATTCAGTCCAAATAGGAAGAGCAACCAACTTATAAGGAAATAAAGAAAATGCACGTACGTTACTCCCTGATCGGTAATAAAAGCAGTAGCAACAAGAAGCATATTTCCCAATGGATCATTTATTTATTTGGAAAAGTGTCACCCAATTGACTATTCAGGTAGTGAGCAGGATTATTTGGAATTCCAACTCACTTCCCCTCTCAGACTGATATGTAAATATCACATCAAACTTCTTTACTGTAATTTTTATTTCCAAGTAATAGCACAAAGAGTAAAATGATCTAGACATCCACCGATTATATGCTTTCTCTTTTCCAACTTTGTCCGCAAGATGATACATACATTAAATACAAATGTCGTATACTGAAATAATTTCACTCTTGTTACAACATTCAGATTGCTGATAATTGGAAGGTGGTATGGTGTATGAAACAGTTGGCATACCTTGGTTTAATGGCTAACTATTGCCTTCACCAGCAAGATGTGCCAGGATTGACATAAATGCTCATCACAGTTTGGTCCACTTATGAGATTTTATTAGAAGCAAAATGCTAATAAAGAACTTGGTAACGAATGTTGACCACAAAAAAAACATATAATAATACATGAATTTTGTTCAATCAGGTGGGCACCTCATTGAAAAAGTTTGAACTATCAGAAAGAAGACGCTTTTGTTTATTTATAGTACATTTTCTACACGCTCTTCACATGCGGTCTGAACTCTTTTTAATTGGGTGATCGACACTGAAACTTAAACCCAAAGGTCCTGGTACCAATCTCTATAATTATTGTAAGGATTTATAAGAAATTGTAGATATGTTAATATCTTATGTTATGCCTTATATTAGATAGATATTATCCTCTACGCATGATGATTTTAAGTATAAAAAGATCCATGCTTTTTAATGGGACAGCGGTTGCCATAGGGAGAAAGGCACCTGTTCCCTAGAGAGAAGGATGTCCAATCATTGGGGTGATGAGTGGTTGGCTGGCCAAGAGAGAAATAATGCCTAAACGGACGTAGGAGAGAGGAGTGACACCAGAAAGGTCGCCAATTAGATTAGCAGTGCCTGCTGCCTAAGAGAGGACTGATTGTTGGAGAGAGGAATGGCTGGTTACCATCGGAGAAAGGAGGATAGCCAGTTGTTGGTTGTTGCAGAGGAGAGCGGTGCCTGAATGATAGGAGCCACTCCTAAAGGGTTGTCTGAGAGAGGAGCAACAACTGGACAGTTGTCTCAGAGTAGAGACATGGATCGTTGGAGAGAGAAGCTTACATCGAACAACGGAAGATAGAAGAGTGTGTCCAAATATATACATGTGATTCACTCATTTGAAAGAGAAAATACTACAGAATGTTTTGTAGGGATACATAGGGTAATTTGTATTTAATTAAGAATATATTTACCTCCAATGTTAGGCATAGAAAATGGTTACCTACTATATTGTAGGTAACTTCAGACTCCTATGTCTTCATCAGAAAAACTACCGACTCCTATGTAAGAAGTTCCTCTAGTACATTGTTTGTTCAACTTCAACAAGAAGTTTCCACTTCTATTTTGACACATCAAATAGAGGAACTCATGCATCAAAGTGCAATAGAAATACTAACCATTCTGAGACACAGTCTTCACAAAAGATGTGTTTGCAGCACAATAAAATTGGTGTATTCATCTTCTCTTGGCAAATAGCACATAGATCACCAGCTGCATTTACCTGGTTGAAACATAAAAGACAGGATTACATGACAGCTGCAAAAGAAAGCTCTAAGGAATAGGAAACATGTCTAGTTAGGTAATTCTCTTCCTCGCCAAAAAAAAGCTATAACATGCTTACTGCTCATAAAAGTAACTCTAAGAAAACTGGAGTTCAGCTTTACAGCTTCTATGACACAGTTGCAGCTGATAGAAAAAGTACCTGTAAATCTAAGGCTACACAATAAGAATGGATCTTTATTTCATTTATAGCTCCAAATCTAGTGTCACTTTAATCTTGCATTAGCTATTTTTATGTCACACAGATCTGTCTGTCAGCATACTAAACTAGGGATCGCTTTAGATTGCTTCTAGCTGAAATTAACTGTCACGAAACATCTAAACATTTTTATAGCCATGGTGTCTGGGCCAGCTTGCGCACCCCAGCTAATTCCACGGGACACCTGCTACCTCCCACTAGCATAAGTATTAAGTACCAACTAACTAAGTTCACCAAGGCATGGAAAGGTAGGAAAAAATCATCTAGTGTTTTTGTCCCTGCTGGAATCTGAACATAAAGCTTCATGGTTCTCAATGCACCTCATTGATCACAATGACGCACCCTTGGGTGCCACGAAACACCCTAACGTTTGCTCAAAAGCTTGTGCATTTGGTAGTCTCAATCATACTTTCCGTTGTCTTGACCTAGAGACCAAGCAAAGGGTACAGTTCTATGACTGAAAATTGTCTTTTTTTTTCTTTGGATAACCGTGGTGTCCGGACCCGCTTGTGAGCATCTCGACTAATTCCACGAGGTACCAGTCATCTCCAACCAGCAGTAAGTACCAAGTAACTCTGTCCACCAAGGCTATAACAGATGGAAGATATCACCTAATGTTTTGTCTCTGCTGCTCAGCCCACTTCATTGACCACTAGGTCACACCCTTGGGTGCAGAATGCAAATTGTCTTTACATGAGATAAGTTTGTAAACTAGAGGGTCCAATAGTCATTTAGAGGTTAAACCAACATTATCAACTAGGCAAAAGATGGGTGAGTGGTGTAAAGATAGGAAACAAAGCAAAGCGCGTAAAAAACAAAGAGGTTACAAGACACACTAAATTAATGTTGGTAATTCAACTCCTGAGCTTACCAAAAATATAGAGTCAAATCTGTACAGGAATAAAGTTGCTTCAAGGAAGTGATACGAAGTTTATTATCAGACCAAGGAAAAACAAGGAGACTGTATAATCTCAGCACATTACCCTCTCATTCTCCATGAAGAGGATAATCAATTTTTCTCCCACTTCATATGAGTATATGTTATAATATTAGTGCAGTGATCTATCATATATGTGACTGTTTCTAATTGTAAAATAGAACAGAAATTTTGCAAGTCAGAGACAAAATAATACCTGTTCAGGTGTGGCATGTGACCCGTAATGGATTTCCTTAATCGACAGTGCCTTCAAAGCAGTAAGGAACGACCGAACCTGCAGACCAGAAACTAAGTGTGTTGTAGAAGAAAACCATGCCAAAGTTGTATATAAAGATCATGGGGTGCGGGAGTCCACAACAGAAATTAGTTCTACAATGACCTTACCTTCTCAACGATTGATGTAAGCTTAAACGTCAAGTACAATCCTGTTATCAGTGATGAAAAAAGGCTTCCATAATCTTTGTTGAGAAAAAACCTATACCAGACAGCAGTTGGTAATAGTGCACGGTATAGGAGCAGCATATACTCCACCAGAGTCAGCAATTGGCCCTAACAGACCAATAAAATTCAGTTTTCTTTGCAAATAGAATATAGAGGCGTTCAATAAATCACCAGACTAAACATCAACCTCATAGTATACCTGTCTGCGGAAATTGTGGCCCCTGCCATTCTTGTAAACCATAAGCAGCACCAACTTCAAAGTCATTGCTGCCTGCCGCACCATTGTATCTGGATGTAAGAACATTTAGGAGAAGGTGAGGACCAATACTCCTTTCTCTTAGAGGTCTAGATTTAGGCATTGTACCCAAAAAAGTAAAGATAAATAGGTAGACAATAGATTTATTAATAGAACCTTAAGCCTTTTTTCTAAGAGTTCGTCCATCTATACTGGATGGAAATGTCAGAACAATAAATAGAGAGAAATCACCTCTACATGGTAAACTCATAAAGCATAATGGGCACTGAAGTAGGGTTCGGCAAAGGTAAAAGTTTGTTAGGGGGCAACCTTTAGGATCTCTTTATGATTTCATCAATAACTATTTTTGGTAAGATAAAGATTGTAAAGGGGAAATTCCTGGTAAGATTTCATGAATATATTTCTTTGTTCTCCTTTTTACATTCCTTCATTTCAATGGGGCCTGGCCCTAAGCTGAGGAGTTTTTCTTCATTTTGTTATTTATCTGACGGGGGGCTATGAAGGAAATAGGTTCTCTATTACATGATTACAGTGAAATTCCTATCTCCCAAACTCGCAAATAGGAAAATTAGAGAAATAGCACGGGAAATTTTCAATTTGAGAGAACCTAGAATAATAATCAAAATCAGAAGAAATTTCCGAGCTTAAGTTGCCACATCAAAAAGCACTATGATATAATATTTTGGTGCATTTATTCTTGAAACAATCAAAATATTGGCCATCTTTTTAAGGTGACCAGAATGTGTATAACATAATAACTGTTGCGGGCTGCCTTCGATATGTCTGCTCCCGACACTAAAGATTAGTCAGCCGGTGACATAAAAACAAAGAGTACCGAAACGCACAAGTTATCTTAAAAAAAAGAGAGTACCAAAAAGTGTTTCAAAAACCATACCGTTTACCAGGATGATGAAAATAGCATGCCAGAAAGGTGGGATAACCTTAGGAGGAACCATAAGTAACGGATAAAATATATCATCCTTGCGATTCCACCAGTAGATTCCACTAATATGAAGCATAAACACCAGAAAATAACCAAGAAGGACAGTGATCTTTCTCTCCCCCTGCAAATGTGGATACTTCATTATGACCAGATTCTGAGTCATTTTTAATCTTTTAACGAGCTTCAAGGACAAAAAGTGCTGCACAGCATGTAACACTAAATAACATTTGAAAATGGAGCATCATGTCACCTTTAAAGCAGTCTGCTTTCGAAGAATGTCATTTGACCTGAACATGAAGGCCGTAATCCAAATTATGACAAAGAAACCTGCAAAACAATAATTAGAAAATGAAATGAAGGATCTATTCAGCTGTAAAGAAAGTTCACATGATATATTTAAAGAATTTCAACAATTAAATAGGAATAGTAAGCGCCAATATACAGAAAGTGATCCATTTCTAAATAGAACCACTTGACAGCCAGCTCAATTTATGCAGTACTCATCAATCTTTATCAGGCACTTGGTCTATTTGTGCTATCAGCAGCTTACCGTCAGCAACATGCATCATAATGCACTAGTCTCTATGACAAAGCTGAAAAGTCGCCGATTATTTTATCATTTTTTTGGACTCATCTAATAAACCTAAGGATTAATAAACAACCTGCTTTAATCATATACTCCTTCCTTTTTCTCTTAGAACTTCATCTAAAATTAATTGAAAGCCCATCTTGCTTCAGTATACATCACCTTGAGGAAAGTAATACTGAGAATTCCAGTAAATCTTGCCAGACACCAAAAACATATAATGCCATCAAACATCGGAAGGAGAATGTTCATCAACATATAATCATATAGAAGGAAAAGAACAGGTGAGTAGGCACGTCATGGAAAATAACATAATGCCTTTAACAACCATTTAAGACATCCACATTTTCCAAGATTCACCAGCTAAAAAGGTTCTAAAAATATAGGTCCCATGTTTTCTTGGAGTCCCTTAGTCCTGTAACAGAATTTATATGCTGGTAGAAAACATAGAGGGCTACTAGTACTTTTACTTCTATTTTCATTTATTTGTACAACATTAGTATGAAACGAGCTTAAATGGAACAACATGGACACTGAGGATTCTTATAGCCGATCCCAACTTGCTTGGGATTACATAGTAGTTGTTGTATCAGCTGAAAAGATTGAGTTATGCAACTCTCCTTAATCTTCCCATTTATAAGGTAGAAAGGAGCTCTAAGAATCAACCAACAAGTCAAAACATTTATCATGGAGCTGTTTATCACTTTTGAGACATTTTCCAAAATATTTTCAAAGTTCTCTCTTCAAGTTTCTTTTCATTAGTTTCATGGACTCTAAGATGTGAGAAAACCACCAATGCATAAGGAGTAGGAGTGGTCCTTCATGGCGTTAGCCAAGGGACTCGATCTAAAGCAAATTGCAGATGCCATCACTGCCAGCTAGTCTAGTCTTAGACGTATAATTTTAATTGTTCACATGTTAATGCAAATATTATAACAAAGAAGAGTGTGCACATGGTAACTTATGCCAATTTGTCTTCTCACTCCATGTGTATAGTACCATCTTAGTCAGCAGAGTGTAGAGGTACATATTGCCATATGTATGCATGTCAAGCATATCAATCACCAACAAAATATTAGGTGAAACCTACTTATTCCAGGGTTTTAGTGTACATTAAAGAGTGCTTGTTCATTGCCACATCTTCTCTAATTGGTGGAGAAGACAACGACCAACATCTTTCATTAAAAGTAAAAATTGATCTTTTTGAGTTTAGTTCATTATCATTTGCTACATATTTAACAAGCTTTAGCTCATTACTGCTAATGCCATCCTTAATCAATAGTAAAATATGAACTTGAAAGTGAATTAAGGAAATCTTAAAAGAAGAAAAAGGGGTTTACCTTGCAAGTGTTGGCGGATGAAAACAACCAAGAGTAGCAAAGAAAATGGAAGAAACTGTTCAATCCACCTTGCAACCTGTTGTATATCATACCTTTGATATGAAGAATCCCTATTATTCCCACTCCCAGAAGAAGTAGACCCTTCCACATTCGAACCCCTCTCTTCCTCTCTTTCCCCACCATCCATCACCGACCCATCATCACTCCTAACCCGATCATTCTCTCCAGAGCCAATTATCCTAATTGAAACTTCCCCATTACTAGAAGTAGTTGATTCAGAAGAGTTGGGAGTAGGATTGTCAGGAAGGAGCAAATCGGTTTCTGGGTTTTCGGGTCGGACCCGGAGCAAACCGGAATATTCAAGGAAAGTAGAAAGTGGGTATCTGAAAACCCGAAGAGGAGATAGATTAACTCCAAAGGCTGTTGAATTTGAAGTATGTGGAGATGAACTAGAATTAGAATTGGAATTTGGGTTTGTGTCAAAATCTGAAACGCTTGAAGAAGTCGTTGTCTCCATCAATGGAAGACTCTGAAGTTTTGTTTTGTGATAAGATAACACAAAGTAGTTGTAGCTGTGAAGAGGAAGGAAGAAAATGGTGAAGAAGAAAAGTCAGATGAGGGAGAAAGCTAACTTAACATCAAAGAAAGAAATATAAGACCAAAATGGGGAAGAAGAAACGACAATTTACTTGTCTGAAAATACTTGTACTTCAATATTTTCATTTAAAAATATCTTATTTCTTTCTAATTATTTATCCATTTTTAAATTGATATACTTATTAAGAAAATAATGATTGATATAGTAAATTTATTATTTTTTTTCTATTAATTATGAAATGGATGAAATAAAAATTTAAGATTTTCAAAAAGTTTTATATTTTTCAAAGTAATTAATTGATGGTATAATAGATAAAATAAATTTGTGCTTTCTTGATTTGTCAAAATGGACAAGTAAAAACGGAAAAAAATGGATAAGTACTTAGGGTCTGACAGAGTATTACTAAACTATCCCTATTAAATGATGTTTAGTTTAAGTCTTGAAAAATGATTTGGAGAAAGAGTATTTAATGTAGAGGGTGTAACATGAAAATATATAATTGTCTTTTCTTGATATGTCAAAAATGACAAATAAAAATGAAAATCTATTTTAGGAATAAGTGGCAAGTAAAAGTGAACGCATGAAGTATTATTTTTGAATCAAGAGTATATATTTTTTTCCTAATAAAAATATTATTATCTCTTAATTTTTCAAATCTGAAGAAGAATGAATATTTTTTTCACATAACTTTTTATTTTAAAATTAAGATACAATAATTGAATTCTGCCCAAATCAATTTACTTATCGCGATTGAGATCCACACCACACGATTGAGATGAAGGACAAAAGTCAACTCATTTAATGACTATCGTGATCGCTTCACTGACCCATGCGATTGCGATGCTCGGAAGACTTGCCCTATACGATCGCAACAAGCCTAATGTGATCGCGATGCACAACAAGAAAATACCTATCCGATCATGATGAAGGGCGTCGTAACCGCGAAGAAGGAACCACTGGACAGAAGATATAACAAGAACAACAAAACACCTAGACATAAAATTCACCGAGTGAACCCTTAGGATTCATTCAGAATTCCGTGCACACAAAACAAATATGCTATCCAACTAAATTTGATATTTCAGACTCAATGAAATCATCATATTACGAATTTGAGGTCTTCTTGATACGACACTCGTGTAAGCCACAAACTAACTAACTTTCACCCAAAAAATTAATACGCCTTTAGACTCTCCAAAAATTTTACCAATCCTTATCTTAACCTAAATTTGTCATTTGAATCCAACAGAATCATCGAAAATTCAATCTGAGCGTCTGAACTTCGAACATTGACTAAAGTCAACTCTTGACCTAAATTCACTTAAACTTTCAATTCAAGAGTTCAAATCCACATAAACTGAAAATGACAACATCTCTCAACCAAATTTCGCATTTCGGAGCTGATGAAATTAACATAATTTCATTCCAAAACTCGTAGCTTCGAGTGTTGACAAGACTCACTTTTAACAATTTAAAGCCTCCAAAACTCTCAAAAACCATAATTTTTCGATCCGACTACAAAACTAATCTCATAAATTGATCCAACATGACTCGGTGCAATTATCAAAAGGGAAAAATAGTAATTTTTCAATAATTTCCAAAATTGACCTTCAAGTTATTACAATTATTAATTCAAATTCAAATTTAAATATTAAATTATATTTCTAACTCAAATTTATTTAGTAGGTTGAAATTAATAATTGACATTCCACGTGAATGTGGGTGTGTTGGCGTACATATGTGGGGCTCCATGTGGCATTTTAATACACACATGGATGCCACATAACTCTTCCGTTAGACAAAAGGGTAAGTGTGGTCCAATAGTTTGATGGAAAGGGCAATTTTGAGCCGTAATATAGTTTAAGGGTATGTTTAATCTATTTCGAATAGTTTAAGGATAGTTTTGACTCTTTTCCGAAGAAAGAAATATAAGACCAAAATGAGAAAGAAGAAACAACTATTTATTTGTCTAAAAATACTATTACTTTAATATTTTCATTCAATCCACAAGGTTGCCCAAACAGTTCCCATAAATTAAAACATGACCAATTGATGAATAAATTAAGTTAAAAATGCACACGATTAATCAAATAAACAAAAATAGGATTAAATAAGAAAGAAATAGGAGTTCTCTTTGTCTTATAAGTTTGGCAATTAATTAAAAATAATAATAATCTCTAATCTCTTCATTTTTTCTTCCACTACACTGATAATGGACGGTCACAAGTCATTATCTAACTCACGTGAACACACATCTCTCTACCCAACCACCCCAATAGAAATATCCCAACACACCCAACCCCCTAATAGAAATACCCCAACACATTCCCTACCCAACCACCCCAATAGAAATACCCCTACCTACCCAACCCCCTAATAGAAATACCCCAACACATTACACACATATCCCTACTCAACCCACACCTACCCACCCCAACACACAACACACGCGGCTGATCATCTTCTCTATCTCTATATAATGTTATGCACATACATACTCATTCATCCACATTTATTTTCTAGCAAATTTTTAAAAAAACAAATCATGTTTTTCTTTTACCAACTTCTTCTAGCATTATAAAGGTTCATTTTCTCCTTCTTCTTGTTATTTTTTATAGCAAAAATTTCAAGTTTTACTATTGTTTGTCATTGTTGTTTCACATTTATATCTAGTGTTCTGTTTTATTAATGAAATCAGTCTTCAATTTTATTTTTTTCTATAATGATAAAATCAAGAAACTAATGCTAAACCCATTTCACTAGATTAATTTCTAGAAAGGTGAATAGTTGAAGGAGATCAATGTGAAAGGGATGAAGTCAATTTTTATGATTTTTCTTCCTCATTATTACTTGCTCTCTTAGTTAGTACTCTACTTCCTAATTATCAATGAAAAGAGGTTGAAGTCATTTAATGACTTTGTTCCTCACTGCTCTCTTTTAGTCACTCTTCTAAAAGAGGTTGCAACCAAATTTAATGACTTTAGTTCTCACTGTTAGTCATTGCTTTAGAAGAAATTGAAGTCACATTTTGTTGTTGTTTCACATCTAAGACTGGGCGCCGGACCGGAACGGAATCACCGGACCGGAATGAACCGGTACCGGACCGGAACGGGATGGGTTGACCGGTTTGTTGATCGGTACCGGGATGAATCGGACCGGAATTACCGGTACGAATACACGGTTCCGTCCCGTCCCACTATATACCGGGATGGAACCAGAACGGACCGGAATGGAACGGGATGGGATAAACAGAACGACACATCTAGCTATTTCAAAAAAAGATAAAATTTTTTTAGATATTTTAGTTTTTTGAAATACAAAAATATTAATGTTTTTTTATTTTTCTAAGTTTAAATTAATAGTTTTGAAATTTATAATGTAGTTTTACTTAAGTTTATTTTAAAGATATTTTTTTTAATTTTTACTTATTAAGTTTGCAAGTTAAGTTTAATAAAGTTTTTTTAAAAAAAAAATGTTTATGAGTTTAGTTTTAAATATTTGAATCTTTTGAAGTATGTAAGTTAAGTTTAATAAAGTTTTTTTTTTAAAAAAATATTTTTGAGCTTAAGTTTTCAAGATTTGAATCTTTTGAAAGTTATAAGTTATTACTTATTAATATGTTATAACTTATAAGTTATATTTATAACTTGTAATTTAAATAACTTAAGTTTGTAATTTTAAAAATTAAATAAAATAAGGAAAAACAATGACACAAAGTCACAAATTAAAAATATCAATCCAATATTCCAATTTATTTAAATTTGTATTACAAATTACAATTTTACAACTATTAGTAGAGTGCATAGTTTACGCAGCCACCTTCTAGGAAAGGTTCTGTTTCAACTAAGCCTCAAATGTAATACTAATAGTTGTATAGTCCCGTAAATCCTTTCTCTAACTCAGCTATAAATTGACCGTAATCAACTACTGGTCTTGGTAAAGCTCGTTGACGATCTTGAAGTTCCATGCCATCGTCACTACCACATCCAATGGCTGAATCTATGAAAAGTTCAAATTGACTATCCAACTTTGGAAGTCTTTGATTTCTCCGCTCAGCATTTATCCAATCTCTAAACAACACCGATATCTCCAAACTGTCTTCTGCTAACGAATATCTGTGGTCTCCAATTTGAAATCTTGCCGCGCTAAAAGCAGCCTCCGAAGTAACTGATGATCCTTGAATTGCAAGCACGTCCTTCACCATCCTACTAAGTTTTGGAAATTGAGTTCCACGAGCCCTCCACCAGTTCAATAATTGTGGTATACCTTCATCGTTTGTAATATTATCTGAACCCTGTTCAAGATATTTAACAAATTCACATTTATTAGAAGAGTCAAGACCAAGTTTATGTTTCACTCTACCATGGGCACCTACTTGAGGCATAGACATTTGAGGATTTTCAACATTATCTAAGGAACAATATTTATCATACATTTCTTTAGCAAGTAATTTTATACTATTTTGACATGTTACCAAATCAGGTGTTTCTTCTGGTTTAATATCTAAATTTTGATAAATGCATTCAACTAAAGCTTTTGCACCATATTCTTTATATTCGGGGTTGAAAAGAATTGCAGTTAAATAAATTTGAGGGATAGGAAAAAAATATTTCTTAAATTTTGTAATCATAACTTCAATAGCAATGGTAAATAATTCATTTGTTTTATATTCAGCAAAGATATATGAAATCTCACATATATGTATTAAAATTTCAGAAATAGTAGGATAATACATTCCAGAAAAATTTTTAGTAGCATCATAAAGCGATTTCAAAAATATTCTAAGTTCATTTACTTCATCCCAATCACTATCATTAAGTTTAAATTCAGGATAAGCATTATGACTATTAAATTGCATAGTAATAGGCTCTTTATATGTATAAGCAACTTCAAGCATTTCATAAAAGGAATTCTATCTAGTTTTTACATGCTTCGAAACTTTTCTAAACGGAAGTTTACATGTATTACAAAGCTCTTTAAATTGATTAATTCTACTACTACTATTCATATGAAAAATATAAAAACAAGCATTATCAACTTTATCACAACTATTTTCAAATAATTTCACACCGTCACTAACA